TAAACCAGCCTTGCAGCCAAGTCGGAAGGGGTTGCCGTCGAGTAAGGCGCCACGTTGTACCGGGGAAAGAGAAGGAAGGATAAAACCACCGATTCATATACAGATCGATATAGTCGACTGCACCCATACATACGTAGCTGCGCATGGGTACAGCTTTTCGAAACAATAGAGATATAATTTGCTTTGCAGAGCCGAGATCCAACATATGCGTATAGTTATACCCTTCGCATACAGACACATCAGTCCCAATCGAATGGAATACTGGAGGAACGATGCGAGGATACAATTCCATCATCGTCGAAATGCTATTTGCACTGATGGAGCGGCGGCAGCAGTTCAAATAGTCTAATCACCAGATCGAAGCATCAGCCAAAAGGGAGAGGGAGAGAGAATTAAGCGAAGCGAAGAATTGATAAATTAGTTATTCCGTCAGTGGGCGACCTAACGTGTAGACGTGTGTTTGATTAGCCTTAGGCTTGACTTTTCTCTGGCTCCTCTCTATAAATACGGATACCACTGTGCACCCGAACATGTCTCTGACTTTTCTCGATCGACTCCTACTCATACGTGCGTTTACGCACACGTGCACGAACGGGGAATATTTAATGCTCTTTTCCGCAAAATGTCAACTACTTTGCCTCGTGCAATTTTCATCATGTCCCATCGCAACAGAAACAACAGAAACAGCGGCAGCTTTTCGCTGGCATCAAAGTGAATTACAATTAATTATTCCGGATTCGCACGATCATACGTGTGCATGTATATGAGCAATTCTATAAAAAATTCTTAGAAATCAAGAGTAAAACGCTACAGGAATTTTTTTCATTTGATGAGTGTAATGGATGTAAGTGTAATGATGTAAGTGTAATGATGATTCTCAAGTGTATATTTCCTATCGGTATGTTACTTGAAAATACTTGTCTTGATTTCACATAGAATGCAGAATGAATTCTCGATAAAAATCGTTGTAAATAGTGACAAATCAGCCCTACCTTGATGTTCAAACACTTTCTAATTTCTCGGGATCTCAATGAGCTATTATCAATGTCTATGACATGCGTCAAGCGACAAACATTTATATTGCATTTTTAGCCTCAAAATTCAAGGATTTTTCAAATAGAATTGCTCATATATATGTGCTCGCATAACGTAAACGTGCAAGACTCTGGGTGAATTTTCCTGAATTTACCAAAGTAATTATCATGTAGAACAAGCCTCCTCGGTAATTCTAAGATATGTGTCTATAATCTATAGGTGTATAGCATGCATAGAAAGGAATTAGGGAAGGAGATCGCTCTCGCTTCTACTTGCTTGCGGAGCGCGCGAAACGGCAAACTTGGCATATTTGTCTTTAGTCTCTACACTTGTGCGAATAGTGCCGCATCTGGCACTTCTACAACGTAAACGCCTTATAACGCATATATTGTATATCCGGCAGAGAATACTTGAAGCCTATTATATGTTCAAGATTAACTATGGCATACTGCAGAAGTACGTATATTACAAGAGCTACACGAGGTATCTAAGATCCACACTGATCAAGGTCTTTTCAGGCTCAAATAAATGCAAAAAGTAAAAGAGATACGAAAAATTTGATCATATCATTTCTTGCGCCAATTTTAAAGTTTTTTGGAATGTACTTAGTTTTAGAAAAATTCCTCTAGGGAATCGTTAAGTTAAAATTTAAAATTAATTTAAATATTTTAAGAATAATATACAAACAGATAAATCGGAACCTTAATTGTAAACAATATGGTCATAAACAATTTTGACATAGTCCCTCGACACACTGATCGTGTTCATAGTAAAAACAAATTAGTTTGAATGTTATCTTTCCCGATGAAACAAGTAATACAACCTGTAAATAACTTTTACTTAATCATCTTTCCGTGGCACTAAATGAAAGGATCCATTGTTGATTTAAAGCACCAAAATGGATAAAAGTGAAAAGAAATCTGAGGAAATTGTCTCAGAATATAATTTAAATGAACGCGACATTGTTGCTTCAGACGATAAAAAATATATTGGTGATATTTATCAGGAGCCATTTACACTAGAATCAAGCATGATAACACACAAAGACACGATTCACAGTGAACAAAAAAATTACGGATGTGAAAAGTGCGAAGAGAAATTCGAGTTCCGAAGTCATTTGAGTAGACACCAAATATTGGGAAGTAATGCGAGTGCCTTGGAGGGGGAAAAAATCCAATATGTTCTCTATAGCCAAGGAGGTTTAACATAGGAGTGTAAGGGAGGTTTACAGTTTTTCGCTCATATTTCAAAAAATATGCAAATTTTCGGAAAACTGAGGACATCAAACGATTCCTCGTCAAATTTTACATCGGGAATGATTGTCGACTGCAAAAGTGTTAGTGTAAAATTATTCACAATATCGACCTCCCATACACTCCTATGTTAAACCTCCTTGGCTATAGAAAACATATTGGATTTTTTCCCCCTCCAGGGCACTCGCATTACTTCCCAATAGGGATACAAAGGCTCCAAAGATTTTTCATGTGACAGATGTGAGAAAAAATTTGTGAAAAAATCAAGTTTGTTTACGCACCGAAAATTAGTACACAAAGATCGCCAAGATTTCACGTGTGACAGATGTAACAGAAAAGTTGAAAACAAATCCACTTTACTTAAGCAAAAAAAATATAAATATAATTTTCTAAAATTTCAATAAAAATTTTATCAATATGATTGTGTATTACCTGAAACTCAGGTGTTCAACTTTCATTACTCCTTCGTTCACTCTCATGGTGGTTTTTTATTGTTGAACTAAACAAAAATTCGCGAACTGCAAGCTATTACTTTCCAAAAATTTTTGGTTACTTGGTTGCTCCAACTGTTCATGTGTGGGGCCTGATGCTTCACCCACGGTAACATGTCGGTCGCGCCGTCAGCTGGGCCTCCCGTCAGACGAGCGGGACCGCTGACCGCGTGATTTCTAGTGCCTACCCGCATCTGGATGTGTGTATGAGAAAGGAGCGTCGCAACGGCTCGAGCGGCGACGGACCTTTAAAACTCCGAGAGGAACAAGAAATTCCTCTCTCGCTGTTTAGCTCTCCTCGAGTCCACTGTGTGTGGCTACAAGGATGCCACAACTTGTATTCTTGTCACTCGTGCGAGCTTTTATTTAAAACATTTAGTATTCACTAGTTAAGTCAGAGGTTCGCCTACTTCACTCACTTGACCTCGACAACTCAAACTGAAAACATGCATCAATTAAGGGAGACAGCATCTGCAGAAGTATGTATATTACCAGAGCTACATTACTGTATCTAAGCTCTGCACCGATCAGGGTCTTGTCAGATTCAAATAAATGCGAAAAGTAAAAGAGATACTAATATCGATAAATTTTTGATGGTGCATTTGTAAGACGCGCGAGTCCGGGCCACACAGTTCAAGTTAATAGACATACCTCGTGCGCGTCTTTTACATGTGGTAGGTATGGAATATATGCACGCTCACACATACGCAGAAAGCATGCAGTATACGTATTATATAGCGCTTTCATATACGTAGAGCTGTTGGTGTGATTGTAGGTGCAGTACTGGTGCTGAGGTCGCACAGAGAGCGAGCGAGCAATCGTGAGCCGATTGTAACTCGCTGAAGACCCACTAACTATCTCAAACTAACCCCCATTCAAACTCCCCTCCCCGAGCTTGCGTTGAACCTCATCATGCACTGCACAGTCATACATGCATGCACACACGCACTATTGCTGCACCCATTCACAAACGTACATACAAACATATACACTTACAAACGACCGAATCTTGAAGACCGTTTTTATTTACTGCTGTTGCTGCGTCTGCTTTTCGAACGCGGGTGAGTGCATCATCCCTCCCTGTATTATACACTCGAGCATGTATACCCTTAATTAGCCGCAATTAATATTCGCAGCTCGTTGTTTCTGAGCCGCCTTTTTTATTTATTTCTTTAGCTCATAGTGAGCACAGTCGAGGGAAGAAGGAGGGAGGGGGTGGAGTTGCATTTGATTGCAGCAGCAGCCACGAGTGCGCGCACGAGGCACTTACATTTTGACTGCACGCTTGGGACTCTCTTCGCGTACATGTTCCTTTTATTTTTTTTCTTCTTTTCTTTTGAGTTCTTTTCATCGGCACGGCACGGAGCGGAGCAGCTGCTAATTAGCTAGTTCGTTTGCAAAATAATCAGCATAAGTCATTAATTGAATGATCAAGTGTATGTGTGTGTGCGTGTAGCCGGCAAAAGCGCTCCGCGTACACGCGGGCAAAATTGAATCATTCGAACTCGATAGTGCGCGAGTGTATTATGGAGCTTAAATTAGACGCTGAGCAGCAGCACTGCGCCACACATGTACACCCTTTCGGCTTATACATGCTGGTAATTAGAAACGCGATAAAATTTGATAATCTCGGCCAACGCTAATACAAATATAGAACCGTGTGGTCGAGTCTTCGCTGCGCATAGGGTGTATGTTATGTACAAAGCTCGGAGAGGCTCTAACAAACCGAGTAATATCCTCCGATTCATCCTTGCGCCTGTGCAAGTCATATATGTAGCGCTGCCCAGCAAGTAACATTCAATGTTCATGCATATATACGTATATAAATTCACGGTAGCCTCTGCGTCGCTCGCCACGCACGCACACACACATTTACACTCACACATGAACGTTCATCAGAAGATATATAGCGGCAGCGTCGAGAATCATCAAAGCTTGAACATCGAACAAATTCAGTTAGAGAACTATTCTCAGGGATGTGCATGATGCGAGTGGCACTACCCTCGCAGCTTCTTTCCGCAGCTACACAGCTTCAATAATCTATATATGTGGTGTAGCTGTTACATTTCTAAACTCGTTAGTGTTTCGACTCTGTACATGTGCCATAATACTTTTTTGATAAATCAGTTCGGAGTAATTGACTGTTTAGGGGTTGGACAAACACACACTTTACTCAAAGTCAGAGTAAGTATCTGTTTTATTACAAAAATTTTTATATAAAGTTTATTTTACATAGTTATTATTTTTCTACATAATATAATTTATAGTATAAAAAAGCTCAACCCCTCGTTGGCTGTATAAAAGTTACTAAACATTTTTGTATTATTTTATAAAAATAAAATAAAATTTTACAGCCTTCGTTTAATATGCATGTGTATTACCGATTCTGCGATGCTAATCTAATTTATCTAAGTTCATCAAAACTAGTTATTATTTTAGATTAAATATTCTATTATGCTGTGCTAAATCGACTTATTTAAAATCGAATCTAATTTACCTAAGTTCATCAAAATAGGAATTTTAGATTGAATATTCCGTTGTGTTGTATAAGATCGATCTATTCGAAATCGAACTAAGTACTTAATACTTCGTCTATCAGAAAACGAAAAGTATAGAGAGCTTGCAAAAAGCTTTCATTTAACTGCTATGAAAAATCTCATTTTTCAAACATTCTTGGAGCGTCAATCGGAACTAGTGTCATCTTTCGGTATTTCTTGCTAAAATTATAAATTTTTTATTACAAATATTATTGTGATAATATCAACAATGTGCTAAATTAACTTGATACAGAGAATTTTAAGCTTACACTAGTCGTTGGTAAACTTTTTGTTAGTGCATTGCTGGAAAGGGTATCCATTGCCACGCTCAATTGACCATCTCTATTTTCCCGACTCCACGCGCCTACTTCATTGTACACTCTAGACTCAGGCAGCCATCTGTGTAATCGTACATAAATCAATATGATAATATCTTTTTTATAGTAAAAAAATGACGGCGCGTACCTGTGAATAACTGGTGAAAGTAAATCCTTATTTATGGATGCAGGATCCAAAGGTTTTGTCAACCATGTGACAGCCAAGCCAACGATAATGACAACAATTAATCCAAGACCCGAAAACCAATGATAAGAAAGTCGGTAGAGTGGGAAAATATCGTCTTCGCTGTGTTAAAATATTTTAAATTGATTATGAAAGTGTTCAAGTCATGTTCTTAACAAATGATTAATTATAAACGTACTCAACATGCTTGAACATGTCTTGAAAATCTTGAGTGACATTCGTGCAGTGAGACACTTCAACGGGTAATTTTTTCGGTATTATCAAACCGGATCCAATCGCTGCGTTAGCTCCTAAACTAGCCCAGCCGGCCACGATAAAGCCTGCCACAGCACCGGAAAATGCACCCTATCCAGACAACAGAGAAAAGTCGTGTGCTTTTTAATTTTTTTCAGTACATCAAGTACGAGCCAAGCACAGAATCTGGAAATGAATTTTACGACGATATCTATTTAATTCAATGAATCCCGTCACCCGATAATTTTTTGTTTATTTGATCAATTCAGATTATTTTCCCTACACGAATGAAGGTTTGAGACGAAAAATCTTGAATTATGATTTTACCTTAGAATTGGTCCATGGAAATAACATGCCAAGAGTGAAGACTCCGAATGAGACTCCAGCAGCTATAGCGGCTAAACTATTTGTAACCTGTGAATAATAATAAAAATTAAAATCTTAAAATATTTCTTTTCACGGAGAATAGTTACCGATAAAACTCCGCCTAATTTTTCAACGACGAATACTAATGCCAAGGCCATTAATCCAAGAACGATTATGGCGGTTTTCACGAAAGCAGTTGCCCATTTCTCGTTCGGCTTTAATTTGAAGCAGCCTTTGACGAAATCTTCTAGAAGAACAACGGCCGTGGAGTTTAAACCAACCGATAAAGAACTAGTTTGAATAAAAAATAAAATGTTCTTAACTCGTATCGAAAACTAAAAGAGTATATTGTTTCAAACGTGGAAAAACACATTCCACGCATCATTGATATTTTTATACCTCAAAGCTGCTCCAAAAATCCCTGATATAAAGAGTCCCGGTATGCCATGATAATTGCCGGCAATTTCCATGACAAAAGCCGGCAGCATCTGATCATCGGCAAAGATATCGCCCGTGGCTCTTGGATCGCACTTTGGCGGCGCCCACCAAGCTAGAAGAACCAAACCACACCAACAGCATAGCGAGATGAACAATATGACGCCTAAGGTGAACAGGCCTATAGCTCTAAACAAGGAAGTATCATGCGTGTAATCGCCCGTGAGAAAACAAATAAGTCACGAACAGAAACAAGAACACAATAACAGTTCTATTGTTCTATTTTTGCGCGCACGTCAAAGCTCATCTCATCCTACGGTTAATTGAAGTATTTTTTTTCTTTTTTTAACTCTCCGACACATTGAATTAGTATAACGTAGCAGACGTACACGGTGCAATTAATTGAAAACTATTCGCTCGCAAAACGAACTCGAGTGTATACAAATTGCGCCTTGCGATCGTTTGTTACCGATTAAAATTATAGCAAGATCATTGAGTTGAGATTTATTTTAAGCATTCAATTATGAAAAGAATTTCAATATGTAGCTCACGCGTATACATACACTATATGTATGTATATTAAAAGCATGTATAAGACTCACTGCTTGCAGATTTTAGTGCTCGAGAGCGATTGATATCGTTGCACCATCGTCTGATTGACGGATATGTAGGCCGTGCAGTAAACCCAAGAGCCAATCAATACCGTCCAAACCGTATGTCGAGTGTACGGCGACGAGTCGAAGCTATTAAACAGTCAATGAATCGGTTATACAGATCACTCCTCTGTTCTCTCTCTCTTTTTTAACGAACGACAATTATTCCGCGTGCGTGCTGAATACGTACTTTAAAAACTCGACGCGCTTGGCTTCGAGAGCTCGCTGCCAAACGGCCGTCGGCCCGCCGACCTGATAAGTGCCCAAGCCTGTGACGACCACCACAGCCACTACCATCACGACGACCTGAAGCGTGTCCGTCCAAACGACGGTTCTTAAACCACCCTATTTTTTCACGTGCAAAATGTATTACTATAATTTTTTTCCTATTAGTTTAAGCTAGACGAAAACTAGCAATTTACAAAATTACTAAGAACATACCATAACCGTGTAAAACACACACGTTACGCACACTAAGCAACTGATCACGTGGATATCAATGCCGCTCACTGCAAAATTAATGAAATCATCATTTTAGAATTGTACAAAATGCGTATGTTGCTCCAAGTTTGAGCTATCTTTACCTTGACTTAGAGCTAAAGCGGGAACATAAACAACGATTGCTTGAAACATCACCTACGAAATTCACGAGAAAGCATAAATACATTATTAAAATTAGAAATAACCAATACTCGAGACGTAGTACATTCAAGTCACGCTAATCAATCGCAATATTAGTCTACATTATTTCAATTCAAGTGATTCGATTCTACGCAAAACTTGATCTATAAACAATTTATGTGCAAATAACATGGTAATTTTCTGTTAGAGCATCGACCAAAATGATGAGTGAAATAAGCATATCTTTCGTATGACTTGAGCATATATAATTTTCGCACGTCCATGCGATGGATTTGCACGCTTTGACACATTGTGTATTTGCAGTCATAATTACCACGTCGATAACAAAGATGAGCGATATCAATATTCTGACACTTCGATTGAATCGTAGCTCGAGATACTGCGAAAAAAACGATGACAAAGTTGTTTTTAATCTCTAGCGTTTGCTCGATTGTTATATGGTTATATTTTCTTGTTTTATTGAAATACCTCGTAAGCTGAATTCAACTTCAAGGTTGTGAAGACGGGCAGGTAAACATTGGCAACGGTTATACCGGCGAAAATCATCGAAATCACCGTGATCCAGTACTGCGTGCCGAAATTGTAGATCTCCGAGGGTGTGCCGAGTATCGTCACTCCTGATATGAAACTGTTTTTTGCACGTAATAGAAAAATGTGAATTACAACGTTTTACCTTGTTGAAATATTTTGCGTGGACTTGACAGGAAGAGAAAGAGAGCGAAGGGGTTGCAAACATTTACCTAGCGACAAGCGAGGCTGAGACGGGAACTAGTTTGAGGCTTTTTCCGCCGAGTAAATAATCCTCCGTATTTGCATGTCGGACCTTCCTGTAATGCCAAAGACCAGCTCCGGCCGATACCAATAGCATGAACGCAAAGAACGTCCAGTCGAGCCAATGAAAATACCATCGTTCCTGCTCCATGTGTGCGCGCGTCCGTGTGTAAACTTTCGCGACGATGACGGAAAAAGACAGCAAATTGCTTATACAAGCTCTAATCTGCTCTCTTTATTTTTCCGGGCTTGAGGAAAGCTTTCTCTCTCGGCAAAGCTCCTGCTTTCTTCTCGGGCAGAAAAAATACGGACAAATAAGAATATACAAAGTCTCTCGCTGGCGGTGTTATTCATTGAGAGTAAATCGATCGGTATTTCTTTTTATCGATCTCGCTCGCTTAGCAGACGTCTATGCGAAGCGATCGCAACGAGACAAAATTAGAAACATGTGATGATGTATTATTAAAGCTCAAAAGCACGTGGCGTCTCTTATGCCAAATTCTATCACTGTTCTTCTTTTATATATATATCATCAGCGTTTAGATTATACAATGTATTAATTATCCTCCTCAGCGGTAGGAAGTTTTTGAAAAGTTTCCACTAATGCGACACATTCACGACGCAAATAACAATTTAATATAGCTAACTGACCTGGTTATGTTTATCCGAAATTATTAATAAAAACTATCACATGGATAAGTATGTGCTTATAATAAAATTAATTCTTTCGGGATTAAATTAAACTCTCTAATGTGCGAAACAATATATTCATATGTGCATCGGCGTATCGACAAAAGACTTTCTACGACGATAAAAACCGTTCATTTTGTATTTCGTCACGTACGTTTTTTGTACCACACAGTTTCGGGCGAATGTTGATTTAACTCAAATCGATTGGGCTGTTTTAACGAAATTCTCTATGCAAATTATAAATACATATATCAGCACGGACGCGGGTCGGTGCGACGATGACGTTGAAGAAATGTTTATCGGTCTGGCCGAGTCTAGCCCACTGGCGCAGAAGATAAAGTTAAAAAAAATAATTTTATTTATTTCGCGCGCGGAGGCACGTTCGTTCTCCCCGCAATGGAATTCGCGCGCGTACTATTTGTGTGTAAGCATGAATTGTGCTTATGATACGTCGACAACGAGCTACGACTCCTAGATAATTATATGCAATTATTCATAGTCAATTTCGTAATTAAATCGAATTAAACGGATATCTGTGTAACGAAAATGGGTACAGCGTTTGATATAATGTGCAGCAGCAACAACAGCAGACGGTGTTGTGCGGCACGCACGACTTAAAGTGCACATAGAGTGCAGTGCACGGCTGGTCGTAACGCGTGTGCCACGTGACGCACGCACAGACGCACCAACGCAATCCACATAAGCTGCACACTCGTTTGCCAACGCCGCAGCTTTCACAAGAGAGCCGCTGCACGCGCGCATTAATGCAGGCTCACGCACTCCGAAAATGAACTCCGTGTACGATACGACAACGGCACGTAAAGCCGCTAAAAATTCGCATTTTGACGCGCGTATGTTTTTGCCGCAGCCCCCCAAAAATCTAGTCGCGATCTATGCACTTTAAACATATACATAAATACTCACTTGCGATATAATGAATCGACGATGATCTCGATTGATCTCTCGAGCGCAATTCGGTCTGCATATGCGCCTAATTGCATTAATTTTCGGCGTTATGTATACTTATATCTCTCAATGGCAATAAGGCGGGAGCGGGATCAGCACGAGATAGGCATTCAACTACATCGTTCAATGACAGATAACAGCACTTACGCGCCTCGTATTATACCTATACATATAATGCGTTCGTGCACTCTCACGCGCGCACACAGCTCGCGTGTACACGATTATAAATGTTGTGACGGATCGCGAGAGTCGAGCGTCGACGAGCCCGCAGTTTATTTACTCGCAATAACTCTTAGCTAGCAGCCGCGGACTTGACTGAGAATGCAGGCGCGTGGTGGCCGTCGAGCGTCTTAGCCGATCGCCCGCCGTGCTCGTTTTTGCGACACAGAGAGGAGATAGATACACATAAATACGTGTATACGTGCTCGCTCAGCGTCCAAGAAGGAGACGACGGCCAACGGCAGAAAGAGGGACAGAAAGAGAGAGAGAGAGAGAGAGAAACGATAGAAGGCTTGTACCACCACAAGCACACTTTCATCTATATATAATAACGAAACACACTTTTTGTCGCGTGTATGTGCATGTGTGCATCATCGATGTTCAATCAGCGAGACGGGCGCGTACGAGCGTTGCTAGACGATTATATCTGCTACTGAAGCTATGTACCGGTTTGTCGATTCGACGCTCTTAGATTGCAACTCGCCGAGATTGATTCGCTCGCTCGGGAAGAGAAAACCGATTGTGTTTACGACTATTTTAGATACAAAGATACAACAAACAAATATAAATTGAACAGTTATTATCCAAGCAGCAATAGCTCGATTAAATCCATCTTTCCTAGTTTGGAGCCATAGTTGAGTTTCATTTGTTATTTCGTTGTGTCGGTTTGCGCACGTGTACTTGGACTGGATTGAATGATGAATAAGCATAGGACAAAAGATATATGTTTAAATAAAATAGTTTATACTCGTAAGAAGAATTTCATATGAACTTTAAGGCGATATTTTTACTTTGATGCTAGAATACATGGAATAATAAAGTTTTTTCGTAGTAACTGAAATTATTTAATTCATATTTCGTATATAAGCTTTGAGTAATTGTGGACTCTGCAACACGACACAATATACCAAATTTTTATACAATACAATGAGTGTATATATTTTACAAAATTAAATTTTAAACATAAATCTTACATTTTATATCGTATCAGTTAAAAGTCGTGAGCATTGCACAGCATTTAGTGACTACCATATTATAATGTAAACAAATACTATGATTGAGAAAAAAGATTAAAATAATGTGATTATAGAACATTTACAAAAGGATGAATTAATTTTAACGAATTCGTAGTGAACGAATATTCACGTACACTCAAGTATATTCGAAAGATTTTAACAATAAAAGAATGGATTTAACATTAATATTTTTGCATTTATAAGTTTAAAAGAAAAGTGAGAAAAATATTTTGCGTCGAAAAATGAATTTGTTGGAATGTTAGCTACCAAGTCAAACTTACACTTTTTATACAAATCTCTAGCAAAATTACACATACATAACATTCTTATTTTCTGTAGAGCAATATCAGTATAATTAAACATTTGTACATTCAATCATTAATAACACACAAGTGTCTTTGCAATTTTTGGTAACTACTTATACGAAGTAACATTTAATAAATATATTTTCACGAAAAATGAAATATAAAACACAGTTCCACTATAAAAAGCAAATATTGCTCTATTTCGATCACAGTTTAACACTTTTTCCTTCGCCAAATAGCTTTCGGCAAATTCTGTCCACTGCGTAGGTAAACACAAAGTTCGCTGCTAGTACTTGAACTAAAATCATCCGGAACTAAAAAAAAAATGAAAAAAACATTTATTGGTGTTTTTTTTATGAACAATGTATAAGTGCACTTACATCGCTTGGAAAATCAACAATCTCAAACTGCGAGGCAATATCTGGTACGATTCCAAATGCTAATGCAAAAACAGCTCCAGTGCTACCTAATAAGCTGTATAAAAGATATTTATTTTCGGTGAGACTTTCCATGAATGGTTCACCCTATTACAAAAATTTTCTTCATTAATATTATTTCAAAATATTTTTATGGGTTTATAAATAAAAATAATAAGCCAACCCTGTAATTTACTGCAAAAGTTGATATTTGTAGTGCCATGCAGATCAAGTAAACCGTACTGTTCACCAAGTTCATTTGGAAAGGTTCTTCTTCTTCATCGCCATCTAATAAGGGTAGTTCTGTAGTATTTTTTTGAGTTGTTAAAATGGCTGCTAGTTTATTATCGTCCCTGAAATCGATAATCATTTCATTACTTAATATCGATAGTTGAAAAATTGATTAAAAATAAAACTTACTTTGGAGATCTCAGAACAGCTTCTCTAACAAGGTAGATCAAGCAACAAAAATGAACCGCAAATTGAAGCAATACCGTAAGAACAGTATACAAGTTGAAAATATTAGGCAGTGGACGCTGTTTCGATAAGGCTTTGAGAGGTTTTGCGCGAGAAATAAACAGGAAACAAACGGCCAGTAAAATACCCTGAAGCGTTGCTTGAGCGTCACTGAACTTTATGCCATCCAGATAAAGAACCGATTGACTGTAAGCCAGTATTAGGGCATTCAAGGCCAAAATTTTGAACATCTGAAGAGTAGTTACTAACGTACAACGTCCTTGTTTGATGACGTGACAAACTAGAAAAATTTGACCATAATAATAATTAAATTTTTTCATTTGTAAATAATTATAGTTATAAGTATTTACTGCATTGTATAGACGAGAATCTACTCGTGAAAGGAGCTGCTATAGAAGCGTCTCCGAGCTTCACGACCATCGATTGTTCCTGTTCCTCCAATTCCTTCATTAATTTTTCAATTTTGGATTTGGTATTTTGCAACTGTTGTTGACGAGGATTTAATCTTGGAACTGGAGCTTGAGCCTCGATTGCAGGTGGAGAATCTGTGGATTCGTCCATGATGCTTTTGGTGGACTTCGATTTTTTCGGTGGACAAGATAATATAGCAACGCCTAAAAGCAATCGTGTTAAGTAATAAAGTAGCTGCATCGTGTAAAACTTTGAAATTTGTTCTCTTACCGACTGCAGCATGCTTGAGAGCACCGACGTCATTTGTGCCATCACCGCACATAAGAGTTGTGTATCCTAATTCAGTCAATGTGGTGATTATGAATTCTTTTTGTTTGGGAGCGCAGCGAGCGAAAATAATCACATGCGGTAGAATAAAGTACATGTAGTCTCTTTCATAGTCTTTAATATAATTTAAGCTCTGTAATCAGACAAATTAAAAATATAGTACCCAGTAAAAATAGCGTAGAAGATTTGGTCAGATGAAATATGTTACCTCTCCTGTTAAGCACAAAGCATATTTCTCCCAAATCTTGGTTTTCATATCACCTAATTCTAAAGGCACAACTTTTCCTTCAATGGTTTCCCATTCCCATTTGTTACCGGTATTTTTTAAAATCACAGTCTCCGGTTTTCGAGTGAAATGCAATTCCCGCGCTACATGACACGCTGTGAGTGGATTATCTCCGGTGATCATGACGACCTAACAAAAAAATTAATCAATATATTTTGAAAAATTAAAATGTTACTGAAAAGTCGTAGGTTGACTTGATAGTGTTTAGATACACTTACGGAATGAGATGCATTTATTATTTCTTTAATCATACTTTTTGAGTCTGGCTTTAAAGGACAACTGATAATCACAAATCCAGCAAATGATAAATTTTTTTCTAAATCCTCCCGGCTGTAGTTTCGCAAATCTCCTAAACTCGTTGAATCAGGAAGTTTTCGATAACCAAGAGCGAGTACTCTTGCGCCTCGTCTGGACAACGATAAGTACGTTGAATCATAATTGTCTGGAACTGAAGTGTACTGAAATCAAAATAAATCATCTTAAAAAATAGCTGAAATAATTGCAAGACTTTAATTTTACAAATAATTATTACCATAGTTTTAAGAGTTTCAGGGGCTCCTTTGACTGTTACGATGTAAGTAGAATCTACTGATGATCCTGTTGTTTGGTATCCAGCGACAACAGTCATTCTTTTGAGAGATGAAGAAAAGTGATGTCTTTGGAATATTTTAAGACCAGGAGATCTACTTTTAACAGGGATGACAGCTTCACCCTTAGTCAAATTCCAATTAACAGCACTCAGAGTAGCCTTTTCAAGTGGATCTCCAACAATTCCGCTATCTAATTGTACTAAAGAGTGACAAGTAGCTAATACTTGTACACTTTGAATTGGAGCATCTGATATTGGCATAACGTCTGATTTACCACTAAAATAAATTTGTTGTCAATGAATTTCTTGAATTATTTTCAATAGAAAAACTTTTATGGACTTACTCAAGGCCGGCTATTCCTTCAACAACAAGATTATCGCTAGTTAAAGTGCCAGTTTTATCAAAACAGCAAATTTGAACTTTTCCTGCAAATGGTATCCTAAATGGTTCTGTACAGTATACACCTGCATACATAATCCAAATTATAAAAAATAGTCACCTTTTTTAATAGAATTGAAGTTATAAATCATTACCTAATTTAGATAATGCCAGTAGTGAAGTATTTACAGCTAATGATAGTTCTATTGGCAATTCTGGAGGTACTACCGATGTTAAAATCAATATGCATTCTAAGAATAACTTATACCTATTTTTTTCTGGATCTTCACAACCTATAATTAAAATAAGCCATGAATATTTAAATTATTATAAATTTCTTTCAATAACTAACCTTTGATCCAAACATAAGATGAAGCAGCAATTGCAAAGATCAAAAGGAACAGAATAAATCCAAAGGTTTCTAAATTATTTGCTGTAACTCTTTTTACTCCATAAAGTATTGTCCTCAAGAGTTTTCCTTGAGATGTGGAAAAACCAGTTCTTAAAACATATGCAATACATCCATTGTCTGTTGATCTAAGTCCTGAAGAATTTTTAGGAGGAGGTGTGTGCTGAACTACTTTTGTTCCTCCATATAATATATGTAACTTATCTTCTTCAATATTTATAAATTTACCCGGAGAAAGATCTTCTATTGGTTCTTTCATTTGAGGAACAGACTCTCCAGTCAACATACTCTCATCAATTACGCATGGACCTCTTAAAAGAAGCATGTCGCAAGGTACAAAATTATCATTTTGAGATCTTGTAATTGACACAATATCTCCAGGTAATAATTGGTCTGTGAACATCATTCTCCAACGTCTACTTCTATAAGTCATTATCATATAAGGTTTATTACCCATTTTTCTTATCTCAGCCATGTTTCGCAGTTGCTGTTGTACTAAAGTGCACTCAAATGCAACAAGCATCACAAGTGTAAATAAGCTGTAGTACCAGTATCTGTCTAAGCACCATAAAGCCATACAAAAAACTTGAAACACAAAAAATGGAGCAGTTGCTCTTTCTATAAAAAGCTCACGAAATTCAGGTATCACCATATCAAGACTGAAAACAAAAAACAGACATAAATTGTTGATGAGTAGAACAAGGGTATACTTACTAAAATAATAATAAAAATTCTTACTTATTTTGTCCCCATCTCTGATCAGCCTTTGCAATCTCAGCATCATCTGCATATCCTTTCCAAGAAGAATAGTACTCAACGCTATGATTGATTGGAAAGTTGAGCCCTTTGAATTGCTTGCGCTCTGGATTCCAAACATATTTGGTTTTTTGAAAAATGAACCAAGGTTCTTGATCTTTAGAAGTATGCACTCTGACTAGTTCTGTACTACCATTATTGGGAGTTGGAACAACTTTGGCAACCGTTGCTTTGTATGGATCACTTTCCTGAAAATTAGGAAAAATTTAGAAAACCCATGTTAAGCATACAAAAAAAAATTTCTGCAAAAGAAAATCAACTCACCGAACCGCAATTGAGAAAAGTATGTACGTGAACGGACCATTGACAGCAGAGGCAAACAAAAATTTGCAGAACGCCAATGACAGCCACGCCAACGAGGCCGGGTTCGTAGAACTCGAAGAGGCCATAGATACCAATCCATCCATAAACCCAGGTAAGCTCCAGCACCAGAAAGGGTAGTACGTATCCATTGAAAAGTAATTTGCGAGGATTGTGCAGAGACACAGCTTGGACGAGCTCGTCCGGTTTCTCAATCATTTTCTCGAGATGAATTTGACTTTTGGTCTGCTTGACTATATGGAGCTGCTGCTGCTGTTGGTGATAGTAAACACACGCGACACGCGTCGATGACGAGGTAAGTTGTGACGATTATGCCGACTCAGTATTCGCGTAAGCATATGTAGCGGAGCTGACGACGTCGGCACAATATGATATAGATATCAGAGGCTCGATTGAGAGATAAACTACTCTATATTGTACTGTATATGTCTTGGTGTTGTTCTTCGCTCCGTCTTTCTCTGTACACCTTGAGCACACGGCTCAAATTTCGATATTAATTTATATTCGTATAGGTGAACGAGAGACACACACAACCGTGAAACCGCAAACGCCTGGACACAGCTGCAGACAGCTGCAGTACCTATATTGTTATTTATGCGTATGGGGTCGAGTCGAGACAGCAGAGCTTCTAAGGGACATTGGCATGTATACAGTGTAAGGCTCGAGCCGCTTCGTTTTGTAAACATATGCTTCGCGCGCGCCCTCTTGAGCACGAGCCCAGCGGCATCGATTGAGCAGCGATCTGCTCGCGCGGGGACGACTACTACCGCATCGGTAAGAGTGCGAGCGCTCGTGCGAATTTTTGAATTCTCGCGCCTCGAAACTAGCTCGTTAGTATCCCTATCCGGGATGGTGTAATTTTTCGCGACCACGCAGCAACTTTAATTGCAATTTCGAATGAGACGAGTGTAAATAAGTAATTCCTTACAATCAGCATACTTCACGGATACGTAAACGCGTGCATTTATCTTACTATCTGTACGATATTCACGCTACTGAGTCAGAACGCGAGAACCGAATGATTTATTCAATCTCGTCTTTGTGTTAATTGCCCTTGATGCGGAGATCTTATACCATTATTGCGATGTAAATAATGAAAATATAATGTAGAATCCCTGCGCGTTTCTCATATTCAATTTAATTCTTGGGAAATTGTTTCTCGCAAAATCATGATCTTGATTTGTGCATAAAAAATAGCATTGAAAGCTTCCGTTTCAATGGAATCAACCGCGAGGCTCTGTTTTATTTTGAAATATAATAAAATTCCCTCATAATTGTTTGTAAGCATATGAGTGAAGATAAATAAACATAAGTAATTAGTTGTAGTGAGTTGTGCATAAAACCAAAGCCCCGAAATACTGCCAAAGAGTACACGCTGTTGGGTTCACGCGAGAGCGCATAAATTTATGCAAAATTTGACCGTAGGCTCATTCTTCGGCGCAATTTGAATATTACATCGCTTATGACTGTAACTTTCGTTTTCACCGCGTTTACAAGCTCGTACACTTGCACGCGTGCGCTCAAATACTACGCGAGAACGACGCAACAACTAAAACTTTTAATGATGTTTAGGAAAAACAGCTAGCGAGACGCGCACACGCACGTACATGAGCACTGGAAAATAAACAAACTAGCGAGCGCCTCGTCGACGAGAGAGGATGAATTGTGATATTATACGAAATTCATAAATACATGCACGAATATATTAACATACCTGCATGCACGAAAATCTAGCCGAGAGCAAAACGTCATTCGTGTCGTGCAGTCTCGACTAGTTCATTGTTCGACGAGACATAAATTATCAAAGATTATGGCTATTTGCTGCCGTTTCTTCGGGTCTATGTTACACGCTGCATCAACGATGATCGCGAAATCGGCAGGCACAATCATAATGTACATAATAAGTTGGCGCGCGCAAATTATCGTATCGGTGGCGTCTACGTGACGGACTATTTAATTACGAAACACACGGCACGAGCCCGTGTGTGCAGAAAAAGAAGAGAGAAATAAAAGTTTTGTGTTTAGAACTAAAAAGCGCTGGAATCTTCTGGGAAAGATGACACAGTCGTGTGTGGCTCGTTTCCGCGAGATAAGACTGCTATTATAAAGCCTTCGAGGTTATCCGTGCTCCATTGACACAATTAAGTCATAGAAATTCTTTGGAAAACTTATTCACGCGGGTTTTTTAACTCCTTTTTTTCAATTTTTTTTAGTAACTTGTCAAATCATTATACAACAGCAAGTAGATCTTACATATGACTTACGTCAAGGGTTTTTTTTAAATATTGAAAGATAACTGTAATTTCGGCGAGTGCCTCATCACCTATGGTCATTCAACAACATTACGCTCACATGGAGAAAGTCGTGATGCGAAGGACATAGTCGTCGTTGGCATTTTCGCAGCCCCACCTCGGAGTCGTTCGGTATAGCACGTAAATCCTAACACGCCGACCAACACGACTATATCCATTGTAACTTGGCGCTTGTTTAAACTTGATCGCAACTCGACGTCGCAGTCGATCGCTGGTACTTGGTCCACTGTCATCGCCCTAGATTCTCGAGAACATTGCTGGAACACGTGCGCGCAGCATTTTTGATAACCATGGATCCAAGTTTGATAATCGTTCACCGACGTTTTTACATCGTTTTTCATAAAAGCAGTTAAAATTTCGGGTGTGATCGTGCGCGCAGTGTAAGATGTTGTGGCTTCGTGTGTGAACTGTGTCAATTGTTGAAGCGAATACATGCAACTAACATTTTAACTATTTAAATTCTAGAGAATATTTTTTCAACTACTGCAACATAATAATGTTGAAATTAGCTTTGATTTTATCAACCCTTTATTACGTAAGTTCACATTGGTTAATTTTACTTCGAATTAGTGCTTTAATAAAATTTTCAGAAAACTAAAAAAATGAATGCAAGCTACTCGATTATTCGCAAAAGGAGTTTGTCATGATAAAATTATCAATAGGAAATGGAACTTTATTGTTTTAATAAAAGAAAAAAAAATCGATTATTTAATTGCAGATGCGCAACGTACAAGCTCAAGCTATTGGTCCATGTAACACTTATGAATGTTCCATACATCCACGACCACAAAAAATCTATTTTTCAAATCCAAAAGAACACAAGGAGTATGTCCCAGCTCCAATAGGACAAATACCATCTTGCGCTCCACCGGGTCAGAGATACTGCGAGTTCATTGATAACTATCCAGAGTAAGAATTTTTTCTATCGTTTTTCGATTCTCGTATAACTACTATTATTTTATTTTTCAGTGAAATAATCAATAGACTGCTTTCCAAGCCTTCAGTGTCTATCAAAGATTTTATTATGGATGAAGACCCAGCCATTCAGTACGATTTTTACAGGTATATAAATTAAATAAAAGTTGTTTAAAAAACTTTTTTTTCAAATTATAGTTCAAGTACTAAACTTCTGGTCCTAAGGCCAAAGATTGTTGAGCAGACTACGACAACCTACCAACCCGCTGCCTTTGAAGGATATGATTACTCAAAACCCAAAGTCCCTGCTCAACTTTATCCAACAACATTTAGTAAACGAGTAATTAAAGAAAACAACACGGTCAGCTATTATCCATCAAAAACTTTAAATAATTATCAAACACAGATATTTGAAAGGCCAATACCAGTATACACAAGTGCACGGTAATTTTAATAAACATCTCAAGCATCAATAAAAAAATGTATTAGTTATAATTAATTAAAATTTTTTTCACATAGTTTCAATCCATTCTATCGAGAACGCTTTCTAACCCAGCGAAAAAAAAGACTGACCAAAGAATCTTTGTCGACCCTTTACTTATGTCCTGTAAAAACATCTCGCTTAATGCCTCGAGTAGGTCTTGATCTCAAAGGTCAGTGGTTGTACATCGTCAATGCACCAAATGGAACTAATTACACCCAAACAATAGTTAGCGAAATATGCGAGTAAGTCAAGTACTATCGTTGTAGTATATTTTATTTTTAATTGTGCCAGATGAAATAATTGATGATTATTTTTCAGAAACGAGATTTGTAATGATATATGCCAATTGCCACTCGGCTATACGTGTAAATGTGAACAAAATTATGTACAAAAGAGGTTGGTATCGCTCGAACCAACTGGAAATCGGCTTGTTAACGAAATCTATCTGTTTCCACATGGATGTTCGAGCAAAATCCTACTCAATGAGTACGACTCTAGACCTTTAATTAAATAATAAATCATTAAAATCCAACTTTGATCCTGAACATAAAATGCACTCGTACGCTCGAGTGCAGCTATTGATGTAATGGTGTATTTTTTTTTTATAATTATAATTGTTTGATACTCGAAACTTTTTTAAAATAGGAGGCTAAATCCAAAATGTTTTTTATTTTACGTTATCAAATGATGAAATGTACTGTTTTTCGTTGATTGCTTATTTTTGCAAAAAATATTTTTTTTTGTCCTAGACTTATCAGAAGAATTTTTCGACGTCAATTTTTTATATAATAAACTGGAAACTATCTCCAAAACAGATTTTAAACAACATTAACATCAATTACTTCGTGCAATTTTCTGTTTATATCTGTAAGAATGGTTACAGCTTTGTTATCATTTGTCTATAAAATTGGTAAGTGATTTGTACCTTATTATATATTTTCACTTATTTACATAATTAGGTTTTAAACAATCTTTTGAATCTCGATTTAAATTTTTTGGAAATTTGACAACCGTCGATTCAACACTTAACTTATCATGCGAGTAGCGACGATTCACAACGCTTGCATGAGATGTCGGTACAGTTTCAGATACTATCAACTTTCACGTATGCAAAAAATGCGATTCTAATAATTTTAAGCTACAATTTTGTTTATTAGCACTAATCGTGATATCGATTCGCTCTATATATTTTTTTTACCAATATTATAATAAAGTTAAGAATTTGATATTTTTTATATACTTTTACTGATATAGTAATAGTTTTACGTTAATAATTTATTGATTGGATAGATTAGTATATATAACATGAGAATTGAGCATATTGTAAATCAAAAAAATTATTCTCATCATCTGGAGCATTGAATCTTTTATGACGATGTGTAGTCTTCTAAATCGTTCCCGGGTTGTCATATTTCATGTAAATAGATTGTTTTACAATCTGTTTCCCTGTATAGCAACAAACTTCTGCTTATCATTTCCAAATCTAACTTAAGCTACAAAAAATGCACTCCAATAAAATAAATTCAAACAAAAGACAATGAGAAATATCCTCATGGAGTTTTAATTAACGAATATCCTCGATGAATATGACGTCGTCGTGATTGTCATCATCGAGTCCAGTTTGAAAGCTCGAAATTGTGCATTCAATGATCGGTAGTATGGAGAATATAGAGAAAGACCAGCAGCAGTAGTGCAGCTTAGGCAGTTCTAGAGATTCTTATATGCATTGCAACCCCTTTTTGCGTATGCGTGTGCGTGGCGCATACTGCAGCGCACGAGTGATACAGAGCTGCTCTGTAGCAGAGCGGAGAGAGAGAGAGAGAGAAAGAGAGAGAGAATCGCTTTTACATACGCATGTAATATATGCATGCACTTGTAGGTACGTGTCACATTCGAGTCGAGAGCTTACTCCATATATACCATCGCCACCTCCCCCGTCGGATACAAGTAGCTATGCTGCTAGTATCAGTGGTACTGGTAGTATAGTAGGAGTAGTTTTACAATACTGCAGCAGTAATAGTGGAGTAGTAGTGGTAAAAGTAATAGTAGCTAAAGAAGAAGCGAAGGGAGAGTAGTTGTCGTCCGCTGGAAGCGAAAAGGGGTGGATTTCTAGGCACGTAGAAGCAGCAGTAGCAGCATCAGCTATGCAAGGAAAGAGCTTTCATCAAAGCAGGAAGTACAGGACTTCATGGAAATTGAAAAAAAACACACGCAACTTGCGCTTGCTCGCTCGCCCGAGTCTATGTGTATGAAAAAAAAGTTGGAACTTATATACACACGCACGCGCGCATGCAGAATAAGAGAAAAGTCGAGGGTTTTAAAACTCTCTCTCCTCTCTTGGCTACGTATACAGAACGTATTATATACATATTCTCGCACATATACTGCTCAGGATTTTTTCTTCTCTTCTCTCCCTCGCGTATAACTCAGCGCGTGTACTAATAGGCCGAGTGTACCTACTACTACCTATACGCATACACACACACACACACACACACACACACACACACACACACACAGACACTGTGCATGTGGGTGTGCAATCGCGGCAGCATATACGCATACAGAACGTCATATTACTTACTCTCCTGTGGAGCGCACAATTACTTCCCGTCTTCTTTCGTATACGGTATTATACGTATGCGTATACGCGTGCGGCGTACGGCGTTCCTCTCGCCTATACTACTTCGAGCATCATAGACTTGCACACGCGTGCTTGCTCGCGGATTTCGAGTGTCTCGCTGCGCTTGCAGAGGCAGCTTTTCACTCGGCAGCTTCGTGCAGGCATTGTGTAAACCTGAATCGCTCCGAGATTTTCCCTCTCCTTCCTTTTCTCTCTCTCTTCTCGGGTCTTTTCTTTTTCTTCCTTTCTTTCGCTCGTTTTCCCTCTCTCTGTCTCTCTCTTGTTTCCATCCAGTGAACACGCGCGCAAGCGATTGACTACACTGAAAAAGCTAATAAAATGGAATGAAGCGCGAGACGCATACGTATGAGCAGAGCTTGCAACGCGACTATACGCGTTTCATATTGTATGCGAGCAAATTGAAAAGTTTACGCGTTCGCCGGGCTCGCGCAATAAGGCATATTATTATATCCAATATTTATACGCGACTCTCGAGAGCCGAACAGTTGCAGCGGTAGCACAAATTGATATTTATATTGCTTATATTGTACGCGTTAGATGTACGTATGCTGCTATTGCAGTATAGTAGCAACATAGACGGATAAAATCACGAGCGGTAATTATATGAAGTCTATATGCGCCGACACACAGGGGAGAGTCAAACAAGCGAGAGAGCGAGAGAGATGGAGGATATCTAATTGTGATTGATGGGGAGACGCGGCGCGGGTTAGAGAGAGAGAGAGAGAGAGAGACGTGGAGGAGGTACATGAACAGGGAGATGACTTCCTTTTAATCTGCTGCTGTGCAGAAAGCCTAACCCTCTCGGCACATTGGCCGTCGCTCGCGCGCACGCGGACGTCCATTCCCGCTCCAGCCAACGCTGACACTCTAGATCTATGCTGCTGCTGCATGTGTATAAATGTATTTGCGAGGCCGCCTGCTGTGTGTGCCAGGGCTCGTTCGTATACGCAGCTCGCTTCAAGAGCATCGATTGAATTTTTTTTCCTCGCTTGGCAGTAGCACCAGCAGCAGCATCACCGTAGCAGCCATTTTGTAACTCTTTAAGTAGCAGAATTCGATTACACAACCGATCGGTGCAAATTTTTTTTCTCATTCTCTCTTGATTTTCTCGCTGTAAATACATGCGTGCGTAATACGCGTGAATTCGACCCATTTTCCTCAATTAAACCAGCTTTAGTAATACATGCGAGGACGCGTTACAACTTTGTTAACTCGAGGGTCAAGTTTACCAACCCAGTGCGAGCGCGCGCGTTGGCTAATATGTTCGCGCAAACCCTTTTGCGCTCGCAGGGGCTTACACACATACATACACACACGAGTCGATTTTTTTGGCTTGGCTTTTCACACTCGAGCGAAATCGAAACTTTGAAGCTCGACGCGCTCGCTTAGCTCGTGTGCACCGGCACTCATCGCTGTATACGTCGTGTGTGCCTATGGTATGGATATAGGCAGGCAGCTTTCCCTCGCACAAGCGCCCATATACACACACGCGCTTGACGTATAGCACACATTATATAGGATACATGGTTATACGGCACATGCTCCTCTCTCTCTCTCTCTCTCTCTGGAAGACTCGAAGCTCGACGCGACCCTCCGTTTGTTGTTAATACCTCGAGTGAGTACATATGAATCTCTCGTACTACTCGCACATATGCGCGCGAGTGAGTGAGTCCGCTTAAAACCCAACTTGTGTTATACTAGGCTACTGACCTCACTGGCTGACCAACTAACTGTGTACGCACCACGACTCGCGTTGGCAGAGAAAGAGAAAAAAAAATAAGAGCTTCTCGCTCGAGCTGCGCATTAAAATGTAGTTCATCATCATCTGCTCGATTGTGGATTTTACGGACCAATAACGCTAGATTACTCTATAGTATTGACATTTTTTAACGCGCCATTTGTACGTCGTTAGCGACACACACGCTTATTCTAAGAACATACCAAAGAGAAAATAAAAAAATCGAGCGATAAGTATGAGTTAAGAGCTTACGCGTCTGATAATTAGCCGAGCGTCAAGATCTCTATAGCGTTTGACGTTTAACGTTTATTTCGGGGGGAGCGACGGAAGCAAAGTGCGCGTGTCACGTGTAGGCGCGCGAGCGTCAAAGAGGAGGGCTCGGCGCAGTGCCACAGAGCCCTCATCTCTCCGCGTCTCCGTGTCTGCGTGCCATATAATCTCCGAAAAGCTCGACGCAAGCGAAAAGGGAGGGAAAATCGCAACCTGTTGACCCGGTGAAAGCGACCCTCCGGGTGCTATATTCCGATATATATAGAGAGAGAGGCATTTTCACTCGCTCCCTCGAATTCCTCGTCGTATACAACAGATTAGCCATCAGACAACGTGTTGTGTATAGCAGCAGTAGCACAGGTGCATCGAACGCGTCACCCACACGAAAGAGCACGAGAGAAAGAGAGTAGAGCAACGTAGCTTTCATTCGGCACGCGAACGACGTTTAGGCGTTGCAGCACATATTATAGGAGCGAGGGTGTCGAAAGAAAACCGTGAATACGGATACACATGTTGGAGAGCTGAAAAAGAGAGAGAGAGAGAGAACGAGAGATTGTCTCGTTTCGTGTGGGTCCGGGGGCACGCGACTAAAGCGTCGGTCTTTTTTTCCTATATTATGCCTGGTGTATCTTCTGCTATACCGCCCTCCGAGGGATCGCGATGACAGCGGCGTACTTTTTTTTACGCGCGGGCATCTCCAACTCGCTCGCTCGGCTCGCACTTCGAACGTGTTGCGGTGTATTATATATGGTGTGCGTTGGAGCTGACACGGTATATGTTTCGCGAGGATTAACCCAAATATTCAAATGCTCTGCGGGGCTTATTTTTCCCTTCTTTTTTCCTTCACTCGCTCGCACGCAGTATATATACGTACACGAAGGTCGGT